CTTTCCTATCGTTAGGTTTGGACGGCTTTGGCTAATATCGAATCCATTTATAAATATTTGGTAGATATTCGATACCTGAATTTTATTAATGTAGCTTTAATCTAGCTATCCTATGGCTTACAACAGTTAATTACTTATTAATTAGTTGATTGATATCTTTAGTTACTTGCATTGTATTAGTTTGCTTTGCTATCTTAACATCCTTATTATTAATAATTATTTTTAACATATTTAGTTTGTTATTAAATTAAAATTAAATCCAAGAGTCGTAAGATTCTGGTACTAGTACTTTTCAGTCCCTTAATTATTTTATTTCTATATATATTTGTTATAAGTAAACAAATAAATAAAAAAATATTGTTGATATTCAAAATAAAAACGAGATAACTTTTAAAATGTTATATATATATATTTCAATCTTATAGATATCTAGAATCTATTTGAATCTAGATAGCATTCAAAAACAACTCACTTTTATGTAGCAATTATTATAAGCAATTATATATAGGAATGAAAACTTGATACCATTAACAAACTGGTATTAATAAGTCAATATAAAATACTTCATAATATATATGCAAATATATAAGAAAAATAAGTAACGGGAGGAGTTCCGAGGATATTAGAGAGGAAACTATAACTTAAATTATAGAGAAAGACAACTAAAATAAATCATAAGATTTATTAAAGTTAAGTTACTAAAAGTACCAGGTTGGGTAAATGGTTTGCGGAACTGACTTAAAAAAGGAGATTTTTAGTTGTAAAAGAAGCATTCCTTTTCAGTATTGAACCATTCTCTGTAGTGATTTTGTGCAACATCTGCAAATTCACCTGATAAAAGTGCACGAAAGAACTTTGTACGGTAAGAGAAGATTCAGATTCAGAAAAAGAGAGAGTTAAGCCTATTGAATTGATGGGGTGTTGTAATAATTCGAACTTTAATTCACTGCTTTTTTTTTGATTTTTTTAAGTTATGTTAGTAAAGTTTCTATTCCCTTAAACTGCTCATGATCTACTTAAATATTCTGGTATCTTAAAGTAACATGTCCAAGTGTGTAAGAATGTATATTCGATAACTACCTTTCAAAGAAGTTTGGTGAAAGCCAATATTGTATCCTAAAGTTCTTTTAAGTTAGTATGGATAATGTTTTTATATATATTAAGTCTAACACTAATACCAAACACTAAAACTTTTTGATGCTTAAGATTTAGTCTATTACTTTATTAGCTATTGATAAAAACTTAAAATATTATTTTTAGCAAAATATCATAATTTTTAGTATAATGAAATGGGGTGCACCAAAATTTTTCTATAATATTTATTTATTCTGCTGTGTTCATTAACTTTTCTCTTCATGAGAGAGTTATCTAATGAGCTTAATCTATTTTCTGCTTAGACCTACTTTGACATGGCAGCACAAACCGCTTGCTTACATTCTATCTCCACTGGCTTAACCATTTGTAGTATTATATGCACTGTTTTAAGACAAAACAATGACTCAATCTCTTCCTTATATCATAGCTTATTAATACCACATCTAAACTTTTCTTTTAAATTATTTAGCTGCTTTAGTTCAGAGTCTTTTACTCACGATTTTTGCAAATACTCTCAGTTTATCAACTATGCATACGTATTTTTATTCCCAGCTAAAATTCAACAATAATATTTATTTGCTTTCATCAATGCTATCAAAATCCTGTCTCTTATAGGTACTATAATGTTTACACTATATAATTAAATACATCTAAATTTACCTATATTTTAAAGCATAAAGAAATCAGTGTAAATAACATAACATATCTTACGTAGAATGAAGAATTGATTTTATGGACAGTTTTTAGTCCCATGGTGTGATATCATTTTTAGTTGTGATATATCTAAATGTTTGGGAATATGGACATTTTATTTATACCATAATATTATATAAAATTCCAACAAAGCATTATTAAGCTGAATGTTTAAATTTAAATACATCTCTTCACGTTTTTGTAGTCGCAAATATGATCCATACTAATTTGTAAACTAATTATGGATTTTCCTTATATGAGTCAATGAAATGATAAAACCTAATATATTTTCCTCATGAGTACTGTGATATCCAGAGCTTAATAAATGCTATCCTCTAGGACACACGCAAATAAATTTTGTTTAATGCTTTTATTTTCTGTGTGGTTGCCCATGTGCAGTATTAAAAAAATATTGCAATAAATAAAAATAATTTCTACTCACTATTAGTGTTGTAGGACCTGAAGTGAGGGTAGCGTGTAAAATCCGATTACTTTTGATATAAAGTTCTGTTTTAATATTAAAATTTTTTATGCATTATTTAAATACTCTCCAACGACCACACCAATTTAATCTGATAAAAATCTGTCGCATTTAATATTTATGTTCAAGCAATTAATACATCTTAATTTTCCTTCAAACACTGCTTCATTTAAAAAAAAAAATTAAGAAATTCTCCTCATAAAGTTCAAATCCTTTTTTCTTTACTATTTTCTTTTTTATGATCGATGCACGCGATTGGCGTGTATTGTTTGCACCCCGATGCGCACTTAGAGGGTAAAGAAAAGGATTTGTGGACAAGCGCATATTAGGAGAACACTGATTTTTCTTAAGGATAAAGTCAACGAAATTTATGACTTTTTTTAATAACTCAATAAGACAAGGCATGACAAAGCATTTACTTTATGCTCTATGTCCTTTCGTTTTTTACAAAGTGATACCCTTGGGTGAAATTTTATTAATTTCATATTTGATTGGTCATTGTAGTTTCGAGAATTTTGTTCTTCAGTTGAAGAGAACTATCATTGCCGCTAATATCGTACTTATGCCGGTATTAATGTCAATAAAATGATATTGATTTTGATAAGTTGTTACAGTGATAAGTATCTTAAATATGGAGTGCCTAAGTAAGAGGGGTTTAAATAAAGTTACACACTGTTTGTACTTGGAATTTTCGGAAAGGGTATTAAATATTTTAAAAGGGATGTCTTTAACTTAACTTTGGAGTACACTAAATAGATTTGACTGTTTTTAAAATTAAGAGTGCTGTTTTATGGAAAGAGTAAAATGAGCGTTTAAAATACCTTAAAGTGCGAGAAGAACGTTTTTATGGTTTAATTTAATGTTCAATTCTTTATAATGAAATAAATTTCTTTTTTTTTCTAAACAAAATCTCTGCTTATTTTTATTGAATCGAAGTATTCTAAAAAATGTTGGATTAGAGGGGGAAAATGTGAAGAGCAAGAAGAACTTTCATAGGTTTACTAACAGGAGGATATGCAGTCGTTATGAAAAACATATTGTAATAATATGTCTTCTATATCTAATACTCTACATACTACCTAAAATTAAAACGTTAATCACTGCACACTGCACATTACATTTTAAACTAAAATATGATCTAAAGTGTTATAGATTAATGTTCAAACATATATAGTAGATTTTTTTATTTTATATATGCAATCACTTATATCGAATCACTAACAATACCGTACATACTAAATTAAAACTAATCTTAAGTGTTAAATATCAATGTTAATTAGTGGATGAAGTTCAATGGAACCACTGACATTCAACCACTGACATAGGTGTTAGTTTAATAATAATAATAATATGTTTTTAAATATTATACTATAATATAGTATCTTTAATCCTTAAAAATCATTATATACAATAAGAAAAATAATTTATAAGATTTTTTATAATTTTCTATCACTAGCAAAACCTAAATAAACAACTATTTTTTAATTGGGATAGTGCATTTAAAATGTAATTATGTTATTTCAAATATATTTGAAAAAGAAAACAATAATGATCTTAATAAGTTAAGGAAAAAAAATAAATTTCTATAGCACACGCAACAACATCCTTGCCCGAACTTTAATATGTCTAGATGATATGTAATTATAACCCAACAAAGGATCATCAAATTAAAGTAGCATTCAAACAAACAGATTTAGTGTTAGCATAGCATCATATAAGAATTCCTTGTAACTGATTTGACAGTCAGTTACTAGATGATAGTTTATAATTACAATGTGAAATATACACAGCACAATTCGTCAAAATCATAAATCATTTCACTCAAATGGCAGTAGAACGTACTATATAACGAAGTTTGTTACTTAAGTCTTTTGTTTAGTGCAAATAAATTTAGTTGGTATTTTAGAATTAAAATAGGTTACTCATGCTTTTACAAAACATTCTTTAAAGACTTCAACTGCAATAGTCTTGTTAAGAAGATACTCAATATTCGCATTATAATTGCTTGCAGCGCATTTGGGTGGGCTTCCTACGCTTCAGTGGAGTATGTGGCAGGCAAGAAAGCGCATGCTGTCGATGTGGAATATGCTGCATGGTGTATGAATGATGCATGCAGCATACAGTGTACAATATGCACCATGCAGCATGCAGTAAGCAATTTGATACCAATTGTATATTTCAAATTTGCAATATTATCGATTGTGTGCGCGCACAAAACAGTCGAAGCCAATT